GGTTAGTAAAAATTTATAAAATAATTGTAATATTTTTGTCTTTTATCTTTTATATATAACTTAATTATATGTGTAATGATGAGTTTGTTCATTTTATATTTTTAGATATAAAGATTTTTTAGGTCATATGAAAAATTATATTGATAATATAAAAAATAGTAATATTTTATTTTTAATTATTGACTATTTGTTGGTGGATAATATATATATTGTGTTAATATGTGTATATCATATTTTTTTAATAATATTTATGAAAAATAGTTCCATCTAAAAATGTTAAGTAAACAAATAATAATTATTTTTACTAATATACTTATCCGAGCTGTTAGTTTAACAAGTATAAGTATATACATTCAAAATATGTTTACATAGCATACCGATAGTTTCAAATTTGTGGTATGTATATATTCAAAAAAGAAGTAATAAGTCGGACCTTCCTTATTTAAGAAATATTGGACTTCAACTGGTTGACTGTCATGATGAACAATATGATCATTTGAGTCGCCACTAAAAGATCTCACTTTAAAAATCCCTAAGTAAGAATTTGGATACCATGGTTCTTCAATGCATTCAACCGACAATTGTCCTCGCATTTTCTGTCAAATAATTTAAAACTTTGATATGTATACATCATAGCAACTTGTTTTAGCAATGAATTGTTTGGACTAAAAAATGGGGGCTTCTTCCAGCGAGATTTAATATGATTTATCTTCTTTTTTTTTTTTTTTTTTTTTTTTTTTTTTTTTTCGCCAATGGTTTAAAAATATTTCCTACCTATGAACAAAATGTTATACTCCATTCGTTTCATAACAAAGTATTCATTTTTTCATTTTAGTCCGTCTCATAACAAAATATCCATTTCCTTTTTTAGTAACTGTACTATCTACCTAACATTACAAATACTCTTACAATTTACAATATATTACACAAATGTCATTACATTTATATCACACATACTAATAAGGTTATTCTAGTCATTTCTACTTTACTCTTACTATATCCCAATATAATACTAATATTTCTAAAACTACGTGCAAAAAGCAAATGAATATTTAATTATAAAACGGAGTAAGTAATATGAATGTGCTATTTTCAAGACTAAAAGTTGTTAACCATTTTTTTTCTTATTTTATACATCATTGAAAAATAATCATTATTTCCAACATCATAATCATTCACGAGTATCTTTCATATTTCTTCAAACTAATCTTCAAATTTACAAAAACTCGTACACTTTTTTCAAAAGAATTTGAAGTTCGCATCGCTATTTAAATTTTCAAAATATGAAAGAGCATTTTATTCAATATGTCATTGGGATAATCTATAACATATATAAAAAAAAAACTTACAATGTATTGCATTAATCGTTTCTTGACTTTGATAGGTGAAAATCATTTTAAGTTGGTGGTTGTCCATCGACTTTAAAAAAAAAAAAAAAAAAAAAAAACAAGCATGATATTCTCATTGTGATGATTAATACCAACAAAAGAGACACACACTAACTTATATATATATTTTTTTGATAACATAGAAATCCACAACGGACTCATATTTATTTATACAGTACATGATGTCGAAAGTAATAACATCCCTAAAATAAGAATAATCAGCTAAACATATAATTCGAATTCTAAAGATCTATTATATAGAAAATATATAAGTGTGCATAATTCACAAATTTGGGAGAAGATACCAAGAATCTCTAAATAAACAAGTTCAACATAGTAATATATCATCATTCACTTTCACAATCTAATAAAAGTATTGCTCTTAAATTGATTTTATTTTATTTTTTTCAAAAATATTAAACCATTGAGATTGTATCTTCTTCATCAAGTTTTTTTTTTTTTTTTCTTTTCTTATTTTCTGAATAGTTTCACTACTCGCATCTTTTTGAGTTAAATTTTGATTATTCTTTTTAACGAACAATGATCTTCATCAACTTGTATGCGTTTATGAATATAATTACATACCAATATTTAATCAAGTATTGTGAATATAAGCACATTGTAAACGCAATAAATGAATCTCATCCGAATTATACAAAGTATGATTATGCTCCGGACTAAACATTACAATTCTCCACAAATTTTCTTTATTTTGAGAAATTTTTAATTTTGCATTACATCCACATCGCAAATTTATTTTTTCATAGTTAGTTACTTTTCTTGCAAATATTTTATTGTCATTTACATGTTCACAAGAACAATAATATCATTTCCATATAAAAATATATGATTGCTTTCTACTATAGGGTGTGTTTGTTTTGGGGGATTGGATTGGATTTATACTATTCATCCAATTTTTTTCCCCAAAAAACATCAAATCAAACCCCTATTTTTTATTTTTTATATTATACTAAAAATCAATTTTACATTCAAAATATCACATCAGCACCTATTTATATCACATCATACAACTATTCAAATTCAAAATTTTTACTATTCAAATCCCAACTCAAAATCCAAACTCCCAAACAAACACACCCTATAAAAATTTTCTCATTTCTCATTCCAAATATTTTCTTATAGGCATATTCTAACTATAAAGCGTAACTAGTAGCATCATCCTCTACTATCTAACTATGAACAATTTTATATTATATTTCTTTTTCAATTGACAACCAACTTGTATATTATTTATAATTTTATCATCCATATTATCTAAATTCAATTAAACATTAATATTACTTGTAATATTTAAGTTTATATGCATTTTATAATAAAATAATTAAGGTGATTCTAAAAAATTCTTTCGAATCATTTGTGTAGTAAAATGATCATATTATTTTGATTTGTGTAATAAGATCAAAATTTTGTTTTTTTATGGGAGAGAGAATACTACTCCCTCTATCATGTTGAAAGTATTAAATATTTATTTTTTGCACGTAAATTTTTGAACATTAATATTATATTGGATTATAGTAAAAAAGACAAAAATACCTCTATTAGTATGGTATGGTATAATATAAAAGTAATGACATTTGTGTAATATATTGTAAGTTGAAAGGATATTTATTATGTTAAGTAGGTAGTACAATTACTAAATTAGGAAATAGTAACCTTGTTTTGAGATGGACGAAAATGAAAAATGGTAATCTTTCAATAGGACGGAAGAATTATTATTATTACTTTTTTAAAAAAACTACTTTGTTAATTAAAAAAAAAAAAAAAACAACAAATGAGACAATTCACGTGAAATTAAGAGAGTAGAGTACCAGAGTATTGAATTTTTTTCAAAAAGTATTATATCCAATAATAAATTATTACTCGTTCAAGATATTTGACTTTTTTCATTAATAGCACAATATTTAAGAAAATAATATTTAATTAATTAGTAACAATGAATTGTGATATTATTTTATTAATTTTTATGTAATTAATAATATCAATAATTTTAAAATAAATTTAATATATATAATTAAAAATAGAATATGTATTTAAATATTTTAAAAATTATATTGCAATAAAAAAATATATGCAATATAGATATTATTTTGTAAATAATAAAATCTTCTATAATACAAATAATATTTTTATTTATTTATAATTAACATAAACTAATTTTATAAAAGATTATGGAGTTTTAAATGTAAATAAAAATATTTATATTTTTAGGAGGGATATAAATATAAGGGTTTTGATGGAGTTCTATGTGATGATTTATGATGTTACTATATGTTATGCAATTAATTAAGTTGATTCATATTTGTTAAGTATATTTTGATTCAGTAAATTTTATTGAAATAAAAAAATATCAATTGTTATGAAACATAAAAATAAAAAATGTGTCAATTGTTATGTGACAGATGAAGTATTTGTTAATTGTATTTTGATTCAAATTTTTTTACCCAAAATATAAAAATGTCAATTATTATGAAAATAGATAAAAATAAAAATTGTGTCAATTACTATAAGTATAAACTAATTATCTAATTTAATACTCCTTCAGTTTCAATTCCAAAGTACATTTTTTCCAATTTTCGTCTATCCTACTCCAAAGTATTTATTTTCTATTTTAGTAAAAATAATCATATACCAATACTAAAATATCTTTAACTTTTACCTGATTTAAAAACATATCATCACACATATAATTACTTATTAAAGATCAAAAATATCAAAATATCTTAACACGGGATGAGTATTTTTTAAAATTAAAAATATTAAAAATTCTTGAAAGTTCCCAAACAAACACATCCACAATGATCGTGCCAACATTTGGCACTTAATTTATGGTCACTTTTTCCACCAATAAAACATTTCCACATATGAATCTTTATACATATATTTTTTAATTATTAATTTCACTTATCTTCCCCGAGAAGTGACAATAAAAATAATTAAAAAATATAAAAAAAATAAATAATGTCCCATCTGTTGTCTTGTCATTTAATTACTATTATCATTAGTGCTTACGTTTCCATCTAGGGTTTCGAGACAACCCCTAATTTACCTATTTCTATTTTCATTTATTTTTAATTCCGACAAAATTACATTTAATTCTACTGCATAAGACAAAAACGTTCCGAAAAGCGCATCCTAATTGGCAGGCCCCGGGACTCCAGCGCCAGACGAATACTCCCCACTCATCTACACTCCAGATCCGCCTGGCCCCGTAGTCCCGGGAGCCCCTACAAGCCAACCATGAAAAATGGTACGAATGACGGGCAGTACGAAGGGAATACTAAAAACTCTACGGAAAGGCACAGAACACACGCCGCCACCACCACCACCACGGCAGCGCCACCGCCACCGCCACCACCACCACCGCCACCTCCGCCGCCGCCGTATTTAACATTCCCCAAAAAACTTTATTTGTGGCTATATATGCCCTCGCCATTGGTAACAGTAACATTTTCCATTATCAGGGTTTGCGGCAGGCGCCGTTCTCTTTTCTCCATACACTCACATATATATAGATACAAAATATATATATATCGACAGTCTGTGAGGCCTTTCTGCTTCTAATTTCGTAAATATCAAATCGACGAGATTCAGGTAGCAGCAGCCATGGTCGGCGGCGGAGAGGTGGTTCCGGCGTGGCTGTCGGGGCTGGTGACGGAGAAATTCTTCAACGCCTGCATAATTCACGAGGACATCAAGAAGAACGAGAAGAACGTCTTCTGTCTCGATTGTTGCGACGGAATTTGCCCTCACTGCTTCGCCAATCACCGCTCCCATCGTCTTCTCCAGGTAGGTTCAATCCATAGCTTCAATTGAATTCAATTCTCGATTCGATTATGGCTTAATTGATTGATTTATTAGATAAGAAGATATGTTTACCATGATGTGATACGTCTCGTCGATGCCGATAAGCTCATGGACTGCGCTCATGTCCAGGTAAAAAGTAATTCACTGTTTCAATTAGGGTTTTCAATTTTGGGCGAATTGAAAATTGATTTGAGGAAGATGATTGCAGTCTTACACTACCAACAGCGCGAAAGTGGTGTTCTTGAATCAGAGGCCTCAGACGCGACCGCCGCGGGCTTCCGGCAACCTCTGCATCACCTGCGACCGGAATCTGCAGGAATCCTCTCTTTTCTGCTGCATCTCCTGCAAGGTTAGCAGAAACCCTAATTTTCAAATTACTTTTGTTCTTCCCACTAATTAGGGGTTTTTGGATTTTCAAATTCTGAAAAAAACAAAAAAAAAAACAAACAAACAAACATCTGAATATATATAACGATCGCATCCATAGCTTCAGCACATTCTCAAAACTGGGTGCAAACTTTCCAACTACCTTCGCAAGTGTGAATTCATGGCGCTGCCGGAACCGGCTCTGGACGACGGTCAGATGACCCCCGACTCGGTTCTGGAGCGGTCCGCTTCGCTGCGGACCGAATCCGGTTCAAGCGGCGGCGGCGGAGGTGGGTTAATGGAGTGTCCGCACCTGAGCTGTACGGCGACGACGGAGGTGGTGGTGAAGAAGAAGAGGAGCAGCAGCAGCCGGTCGGGTTTTAAACCGGTTTCCCGGCCGGTTTATGAGATTTCCGAGTCAATGATGAACCGGAGGAAGAGTACGCCGCGCCGGTCTCCGCTCCTTTGATTTGAGCGGCGGTTTGATGGCAATGAGGGGAAAAGTAGTGATGGGAGAGGGGCAAATCCGGAATTTCAAATCATGATAGTAGTAGTATGAGTAGTAGGGGCATTTTAGGGAAATTACTAACCCTCCCAAATTTTGTAGATTACTACACTAGTTTCCCTTCTTTTTGTCTTTTTCATAGACCCTTAAAATGACATATAAATATATATCTCTAAATGACCCTTAAAAAATATATATTAGTACCAAATTATCCACTTCCCATTTTAATTGAATCTAAAAAAGAAGAATGTTTGGGGACAAAAGGGTAAAAGTGTTGATGGAATTAAGATTTGTGGGGTCGGTAATAAATAGATAAATAGTGTTGTTGAAAAGGGGTTTTGGGTCCTAAAATCTTTATAAAGTTTGGTAGTTTTTGTTTCATTTATATATGTATCAAATATAGAGGTTTTGTTTACTTGTAAAATTTTATTATTTTAATTTAATTTAATTTTTTAAAAATATGAAGGGTGTGTTTGGCAATTAGTTGATAGCTGTTAGCTGATTTAATTAGCTGATAGCTATTAGCTGATTCAATTTGTTGGTTTGACTAGCTGATTCAATTAGCTGTTTGTATTAAAATGTTTGGTAAAACAACTGTTTGATATTAGCAGTTTATACGTAAAATGACAATTGAGGACATTTCTATTTTATTATTGTTTATAATATATTCAATTATGTTTTTTTTAGTTTAGAATGTTTAAATTTTTTTGTTATTAGTTATTGAAAATTATATAAGTGTTATAAAAATATTTATTTTTACTACAGTTAGATTTAAAAAATAATAAGTATATTTTTATTAAAATATATAAATAGTTTTTTTATTGAAAATGATGTAAAATATAAAATAATAAATTTTTTTGTGTATATATTTATTATGTTAGTTATCGATTAGTTCATTATATTTATAATTTTAAATAAATTTAATTTATTTTTAGTATAAAATTTATATAATGTAATTTTAATAAAAATAAATTATTAATATTTATATTTTTTATTTTATGTTGATTTTAATAAATTTATATATTTTACAATTGAAATAATTTTTATATAAAAATTAATTATTTTAAATTTATAAAAGTAAAACTATAATATAATAAATATTATAATATAATTAATAAAAAATCAAAATATATTTATTTGTGTAAAATGTATAATAAATTTTTAAGGGCAGATAAGAAATAAAAAAATTTTTACAGAAAAAGCTATTTCAAAACGCGAGGTAAATTAGCTTTTCAGAAATTAGTTTTTTTGATCCAAAAAGCTAATTTATCAAACATCTAAATTAATTTTTTGACTGATCAAATAACTAAAAATTGTTCAATAAGTTAAAAGCTCTTCAAAAAACTATTTGACAAACACCTTTCAAATCAAACATTTAATTTTATTTATTTTATTATACTATAATTTAATATTACATTTAAAACATCGTATTAATACATATTTATACGACATTAAACAAGTGTTTGAATTCAAAATTTTAGTAAAGCTTGCAATAAATCTGAAGTGTCAAAACGATGCACCCAATACGTTTGCTTGCTTGGGTACAAATGGAATTAAAAGAAATGCTACATTTATTTTTCAATACCATTAATTTATAAGTATTATTTAAAAATAAATCTTATATATATTTAAATATGTATTTTAATATTTTAAATATATATTATTATTTCGATTAAAGTAATAAAGTGCAATGATATGATGTTGTTGTTAGATCATCTGCAACGTCAAAATTGACGTTGTATTTCCATTTTTGTAGATGACTATCTCCAATTAGACGCTAATTTCATACACTATTTTTTATATTTGTTACAGTATAATATCATTTTGTGTAGCAACATTATTTATGGTGGATTTTTTTTTTTAATTTTTTTAATTTTTTACAAATTGTAAATTGGTCTCTACATGGGACCAATTTTTAATTGTATATATTTGTATTTTTATTATTTATTTAGTGATTTGAAAATTGTTTAAAATAATATATAAAAAAGAATTTTTAAAGAATTTTTTTTTTTTTTTTAATTGAAAATAGAGTTATGGATTGAACTTAAAATATTGTAGTATCTACAATTTTAGAATTATAACTGCATAAATAGAGGTGTGTGGTAGGAGATGGCCTAAAGGCCAGTGGGAGCAATATACCATGTTGCTGCATTTACCTTTCTAACTTCTTACTACTATTAATTATTTAGTGGTTGTTTGGTAAAGAATTTTTGAAGAGTTTTTAATTTATTAAATAATTTTTAGTTGTTTGATCAGTTAAAAAATTAATTTATGTGTTTGGTAAATTAGCTTTTTAAAAAGTTTTTTGGACCCAAAAAATAATTTTTAAAAAGCTAATATACCCAATGTTTTGAAAAAACTTTTTCACTTTAATTTTATTTATTCATTATTTACCCTTAAAATTTATTTATTTATTTCATACATATAAATACATTTTTATTGCAGTATTTATTAATTCTTTTTAATATATTTAATTTATTAAATTGTAATTTTATTCTTGTAAATTTAAAATAATAACTATTATTAATTATTTACAATAAATTATTTTATTTGTAAAATATATAAATTTACTAAAATTAAATCAAATAGAAAAAATAAATATATTAATTTATTTATATATTTTTCATTATATAATTTTTACATGAAAATTAATAAACAATAATTAACATAACAAAAATGCATACACAAAAGATTTATTATTTTATATTTTACACAATTTTAATAAAAAAATTATTTTTTTAATAAATTTTTTTTCTCAAATCTAAAATATAAAAATAAATATTTTATAATATTTTTACAATTATCAATAATTAATAACAAAAATTCTAATAAATGTTAAACTAAAATGAACAAATTAAATATTTTAAAAAGTAGCATATAAATGTCTTTAATTGTCATTTTACGTATAAATAGTTAATGTCAAACAATTGTTTTACTAAACACTTTAATACAAACAACTAATTGAATCAGCTAACAACTATCAGCTAATTGTCAAATATACCATTAGGATGTGCTTGATTAGCGTTTGAGTTTTTAAGTTGAAAATAATTTATTTAAGTAATATTTAATTTATAATGTAATATCTATAAATTTAATATATATATATATATATATGTATTCAATTATTTTAGTAAATGAATTTTAATAAAATATATCTCATGTGCCTTTTGAAAGACACCCTTTGTAGTTTTTTAGTAGATTAATAAAGGAAAAAAAAATAAATTTTGATCCCAATATAAAAATTCATCAATTTTAGTCTTATTATAAACAATTTCAATCAATTTTAGTCTTACCTTTAAAAAACTAACGGAAATTGCTGACGTGGACGTAACAGAGGTGACGTAGCAGCTGACCTGGAAACACGGCCATATACAATTATACACGACTATATATATTTCAGTGTATAATTATATATGACCATGTTGTTACACTGTCATGTATAATTATACACAGCCGTGTACCTTTCTGTTTTGATATAAAATTTTATTTTTTTGTTATATTTTTTTTAAAAAAAAATATTTCGAATTTAAAATGTTGATATAGTTAAAATGTACCAAATCAATAGTAATCATAGTATAATTAAAATTTATTAATTTTAATTCAAGTATAAAAATTTATAAAATATATGCTTTTGAAATATTTTGTCTAAAATTATATTATTCATAAAAAAATTTCCTCTTACAAACATCCAATTACACAACTAATTTTTAATTTTGTATATTATAGTAGTATTAAAAATTAATTTATTATTTCAATGCAATTATATATATATATATATCTATGTTGAAATTGTTTGAAATTGTATTGAAATAATATACAAAAATAAAAAATAGTTGTGTAACTGAATATTTTTAAGAGAATTTTTTTGGTAAACAGTAGAATTTTAACAAAATCTTCCAAAAGAACATACTCGATAAATATTTATATTTGAACTATACATTTTAATTATATTAGTATTATTATTGATTTTTTTTTTCTATTTTAACTATATCAACTATTCTAAATTATATATATTTTTAAAACATATATAAAAAAAAAATTAGGTGAAAACAAAAAGGCACACGGCTGTGTAAAATTATACATGACCGTGAAAGTTTCCAGGTCAGTTGCCACGTCACTTCTGTTATGTCTATATCAACAATTTCCGTTAATTTTGTAGCGGTGAGACCAGAATTGATTGAAATTGTCTATTATCGGATCAAAATTGATTGAAATTGTTTATAATATAACTAAAATTGATGAGTTTTTTTATTTTTTATTTTTTATATTAGGACCAAAATTGATCTTTTTCCATTAATAAATAATAAGAATAATATTTTATTGATTAGTAAAATTGTATAAAAGATTAACTTTTTTTTTTTCGTTTAACTTTATGTTGAATAGTATGTGTATGTATAATATTATGTTTGTAATTTAAATAAAAAATTAGAAGAATAATAGTATATTTGCCATTTGACTTTATTACTGGAGTATTTTTCTAATTATTAACTATAAAAATTATAACTCCTAATAAAGATATACTTCCCCCGTCTCAATATAATAATCTTATTTACCATTTTTGTCAATTCCAAAACAATAGTTTTATTTTATAAATAACTATATCACCATAAAACTACTATTACCTTTTCATTTTTATTACACAATTGCCACTACTTTTTACACTAATTCACTCACAATGGCAAAAAAGTCTTTTATTTATACTTTTTACCAACTACCAATATAATATCAGTATTCCTTAAATCTCGTGTCAACCCCAATTAAGATTATAGTTATGAAACGGATGAAGTAGATAATTTTTATATAAAATACGATTACTTCATTCAAAATCTTTTTCTCCCTCCGTCATCCAATTGTGTGCTCATTTGATCGGACATGGATTTAAAAAAAATATATGTAAGAATAGAATTTTTTACTTTTTTTGGTAAAAAAAAAGTGGTATTTTTTTACTAAAAAAAGAAACTAGAATAAATTTGAATGATATAAAAAAAAAAAAAAAAAAAAGTAAGAATAGATTTGAACAGAAATGAATACAAATGACCCCTTGATCTAACCCACCCTCTCCCATTTATTTATTTACATTATTATATTTCATCAATCATATTTATTTAATATGTTAGACAATAATAAACACAATGATACCTAA